ATGTTAAATATAATCAAAAATTTTGCAAATAAAGTGAAAGTTATGGTTTGGCTAGAAAAGCCCGGCGAGCGAAGCGAGCCAAATGAAATTGCATCATCATAATAAATCACATGAATATTTAATACACAATCACATGATCTACCAGTAATTTTTCCACCAGTTAAAATTTAGAAATTCTCTTTAAATCTTAAAAACTATTTATCATAATAATTATGATACTGTATAGTAGTATAAACCAACTTAATTAAAAAAAAAGTCAGAATTATTACAGTTCTAATTATACTATGACTATAGCTCCCTGCCATGTTTAATGTTAACTTGTTACCGTTATATACTTTCTCCAAGCCTGAACTCGTTAAAGTAGATTGAAGGAAATATTTGCGAGAAATTATTAACAACATTAAAGCCTGAACGATAGAATATGCAATTAAGGTATGAATATTTCAGCTGTGCAAACTAATGACCATTTTTTATATAGTTTTCTAAGGACCTTACTAATACCTTACTAGATCACAGAACGCAAACAACATAAAATTTCGGCAGGACTTTACTAGGTTAATGTTATGAAACGTTATTTACTTTAGACATTATATTGAATCTCACTCAAAAAGTTAATAAACGAACTGGTATCAACTTTATAGTGTATTGTATTTTGTCAACAAATTTGAACTAGATTCGTGACTAAAAAAGTTTTTTTGATGAGAATAAATGATAATATGAATACAGAAAATCTAATACGCTGATTCGTGTGTTTTTGCCAACACAGAAAATTGCATTCTGTCGACATCAATTGACTGGTTCTAGGAAAGCCATTCAGAAATATAATCTCTATCAAAATTAATGAAAACGAAACAATTGGCGAACTTAAAAGACGCATTAAAGCTGAAAAAGATTACTTTGACACTATCGGTGCAAGTGACCTCAGATTATGGCATACAAATACCCGTATAGGAAGCAATAATGCAATTCCTTGTTGTGATAACAATTTTTCAATTAATGAATGACAATCAATATCATTTATAGGAAAATCTAAAACCATTGATGAGATTGAATTGCAATTAGAATATAAAAATTTTAACAATGTAATAATATTTTGAGTATTATAATCATAAATATGGAATGTTAAATTTCCAATATTATATGTAAGGTTTGGATTTTGTAAAATTAAGTCTAAAGTATTATCAAAATAATGAATATCATAATACGTAGAACAGTACACTTCAAAAGAATGTAAAGTTCCTTCATTTTCAATAAACATTTCAAGTAATGACCTATTAATTAAGTTTACTAGCTTCTTTTGGTTTTTACCCACTACAGTATCAACCCACATTTGAACAGAAACTAAAATTTTATCTATATCTAAGTATTTAATAAAACTAGGATAATTGAATAATAATGTATTTGAAGATACTAAATTATTATTAACTCCATATTCATATAATTTTGTTTTGACATCTTTATTTAATTTACTTAAGTAAATTTCAATAAATTGTTAATTTCCAAAATATCCCCTTGAAAATGGATCTTCCCATAATAATGGAATGGTTAAATCACACCATGATCTATTAATTAAAATGCATGAATACAATGTTGAAAAATCTTTTCTAAAATACTGTATTATTTCATTTATCAATTCGGGTAAATCTCCTGAAAATATTTTTGAGCATATTAAAAAGAAAGGGAAAGAAGGTTACTTTCGTCAATTTTCAGGGTTGTCAGATTTGTACAATTTATTTAGTATTTCATAAAAGACAACAAAAGGTCCAAATCATTCCTTTTCTATTAATTCCATGTCCAATAATATGGCAAGTAAGCTGATCAACAAAGGATCTAACCTAATATTTAACAGTGTTGTCAAATGACACTGAAATGACATTGAAATGACATCAAATGATATTAAATGACATCATTTTTACTATGAAAAAGTATGAGAAATGACAAACATTTGAAAAAATCAAATTTATTAGAGTATTATATGTAATATGTTTTTATGAAACAAATCAAAAATAAAAATTGAAAATAATAGAAATAAAGGTTGTTTATTGCTTATTGTTTATTATGTTTAAGACGTAAAATTCAATAAAATTCCTGAAAAAGCTTCTTGAATACTATACATCATGATCCATCAATTACTTACTCTTTACAACAACACATACCAAACATTTCCTTGTCCTTTAACCCAAATGTCCACAATTTAAGAGTCCCTACCTATGAAGCATATAAGAAACCTACCACCAAGTTTCCCTCCATTCTTTCCTTTACCTGAGGAAATACCTTCTGTTCTTCTGCATAAGAGGAAGTTCCTGTCACCTATCTATCAGCAAAGGAAGAGATAATCATTCATGTATTGAAAAATTTGGATACTTACAGAGTACCTCCCAGAACATCCCACAAAAATTTCTTTTTAAAAATATGATGTCTCAAAATTAAAGATGTAGTATGTAATTGATAATTACTACCTTGTGTTGTAATAGTAAGGGTTGCAACCTATTACTACTTTTAAACTCAAAGTGTTGTAATTACAACACATGACTTTTCAAAAATTTCCTTTTTTGAAAAATAAAAATTACAAAAATAAGTTTTGTAAAACAGATATCATTACAAAAAGAAATGATTGATATACTATAATATATATTTGTATAATTGGCAATAATTACAATATTACTATATAATAATTACAATACTAGTAGTAATTATAATAGTACTATATAATAATTATAATACTATACTATAATTACAACAAAAGTGTTGTATATATGTTGTAATATTTGCAACCTTACAACATTTTACACTTCTTTCTATGAAAAATAGACTTTATCACTTTATTTATTTATTAGTTGTTTATTTATAAGTGAGATTTATTATTTAAAAATAATTACATATCACATCTTTACTCAAAATTATCAATTTGGGTTGATATATTTCAGTCAGATGGAATAAAAGCCTTGACCTTAAGATAAATGACCTTGGTCACATCATTATCATCAGTTCTTGAAACTGTTATGATTTCTTTGACCATGTAATCTTGAATCAGACGTTCTGTAGAATCATGTATGTAGGTAATAGTTGAGATTTTAGCAGGCATAGTGGGAATTTTGTTAGCAAAGTGGATAATTGAAAAAAAAATTTTTCATGTTATTTATCCATGAAAATAAAACTATATCATATGAAAAAAAAAGATGTTATTAAAAAAATATACACATATATATAAAAAGAAATAATTCTTAAAATAGGTCAACCTCATATAACTTACAAGTAAAAAGCAGGTTGGTTGTATGAAAGAAAGAAAAAAAAATAATACTCTAACCTCATGCTTGGCATTTTTTTTTACAATGGGTTGAGGCACTGTCACATATCATTAAATCAATCAAACCTAAGGTTAAGATGATTTTTTCTAAAAAAGTATCAAAGTATTGTATTTAGAAATTTCTCTTTTTAGTTATAGGTGAAACATTCATAATTTTATTTAAACAAAAAAAAAAATTATTTTTTATTTATGATCCAAATGGAGTAGAAATCCTAATCTATATTTAAGCAAGTGTTTTATACTCATGGTAAAAATAAAATGATTTACTTTTAAAAGAATTGTAGGACAATGCGCGGGAGATACAAAATAGGAAAAACATATCTACTACGATGAGTGATAATCGGGGCTTAATCAAAGAAAAAAATGCAAGGTGCATGAATTCGATATGAGAAAATATTTTTGATTTTTTTAGAATATTTTAATTAATGTAATGAAATAATTGAATTTTTGACACGTTAATATAATTCAATTTCGAAATTAATAATACTTTATTCAAATTTAACTTGATAAAACAACTTTTCAGCCAGTTAATCTTTAACTAACTAATGCTTGTTATTAAATTAAAATTGTTGTATTTTGTTGTAAACTTGTATCTTATGCTATTTGATAACCGTGGCAATATCCTTTTACGACGATGTACACCGGTATTATTTCCGTATAAATGCAGACCAATTTTGTATGACATTGCATTGTTTTGTTTGTACTACTTGTATATTGTGTATCTATTTGTATGACATTACTAATATATATAATTGGTACAGAATTCCAAATAAGAATTATCATTCTTTCGTCTCTACAATTTATGTCAAAATATTAAAATGGAAAACACCGAAAATACAAATGAATGGATTAACTGGATTGAAGAAGCAATTTCTAAAGGGTATTATAGATTTTATGAATATAAACATTTTAATAATATTCAAATAATTGGTACTGGAGGATTCGGAAAAGTTTATCGTGCTGATTGGAAAAATTCAGGACAATATTTAGCGTTGAAATCATTTTTTAACTTTGATAGTGTTACTGCAAGAGAAATCGTTCATGAGGTAATATAAATTATGAAACATACATAATATTAAAATTATATATATGTATTCTTTAAATCTAACAATTATCTACTGTATATTCATTCTAGCTTAAGCTTCAGCGTGATATACAATTTCATAATAACATTATTAAATTTTATGGAGTTGCACAATTTGATTCAGGTATGATAAAATATTCAATGATACTATTTAAGGTTTATATGTGTAACTTGACTTTGCAAATATGTAATATAATAAAAAATTATTATTCATTTTATTCATAATTTAGAAAACCAAATTGCTCAATCAAAAAATTATTTGTTAGTAATGGAGTATGCAGATTCTGGTACTCTCAAGAACTATTTAAAAGAAAATTTCAATAGTCTTACTTGGAATGACAAGTACAACTTGGCATACCAATTAGCTAGTGCCGTGTCATGTTTACATAATGAAGGAATCGTTCACCGTGATTTGGTAATTAATTCACTTTATTGATTAATAAATGTATAAGTAAAGAAAAATTTTTTCAATTTTTTTTTTTAACATCATAATGTATATTTATTTTTTTAATAGCACTCCGGTAATGTATTAATTCATCAAAATACTGTAAAGTTATCCGACTTTGGACTGTCAAAAAGAATTAAATCATCATCTAACACACGAACGAAACTTTTTGGAATAATTCCTTATGTTGATCCGAAAAAATTTGGTGGACGAAGAAAGAATAAAAACTCACAAATATTCTCATTAAATGAAAAAAGTGATATTTATAGTGTTGGAGTATTATTCTGGGAGATTTCTAGTGGCCATTCTCCTTTTTATACCGAACAATATGATATTGATTTGGCTTTAGAAATATCACAAGGTCTTAGAGAAGAACCCATTCCTAATACACCCGAAAATTATATAAAAATTTATACCGGTATGTTATAGTATTTTAATAAAAAAAAATAATTCAACAAACTTATTAATGATATAATTTATTATTAGAATGTTGGGATGGCGAGCCTGATAAACGTCCATCTATAAATCAGGTAGTAGAAAGATTAAAAGCAATTATAGCAAAAATAAACATAATAACAGAAAATTATCAAACAGGATTAAATCAACCAACATCAATAGAATCAATAGATAAGCGAACATTTATTCCAACTAATAACACTGATACTACTTCAAATTCTGCTGATAATTTATTACATGGAGAAATGTCTCAAGTAATTCAAAATTTTCATATAATGAACACTAAAGAAATTATAAATAAAGTTGTTTCAACTGAAGAAAATATAACAAAAGCAAACATAATAACAAAAGATCACCAAATGAGATTGAACCTTCAATCAACATCAGCTAATGAGCAAAAATTTAATCAGAATAATATTGTTGATTCTTCTTCAAATTCTGATAATTCATTACATGGAGAAATGTCTCAGGTTATTCAAAATTTTCATATAATGAGCACTAAAGAAATTATAAATAAAGTTGCTTCAACTGAAAAAAATATAACAAAAGCAAACATAACAACAAAAGATTACCAAATGAGATTGAACCCTCAATCAATATCAGCTGATGAGCAAAATTTTAATTCAACTAATACCATTGATACTTCTTCAAATGCTGATAATTCATTACATGGAGAAATGTCTCAAGTTATTCAAAACTTTGATATAATGAATACAAGAGAAATTATATCTACAATAAACAAAGTTATTACACCTGAAAAAAATTTAATAGTTAATGATATAGTAAATTATATTTTCGAAATAACTAATGAAGGAAAAGATCCAACATTAAGCATAAATATTAAAGATATTTTCGATTATTTTAATAATGATGATATAAATTCACAAGAAATTTATAATTGGCTATTAATTAATCAAAATAATCCAGATTCTATATTTTTACTCGGATATTTTAATTATTTAGGAATTGAAACAAATGAAGATAATAAGAAAGCATTTGATTTATTTATTAATGCATCAGAGCAAGGTCATGCATTAGCACAATTTTATGTTGGATTATGTTATGAAACTGGTCGTGGAACAATAAAAAATGAAAAGTTAGCTTTTAAATGTTACGAAAAAATAGCCAATTTGGGTTATGCATCCGGATTGATAAAAACTGGTTATTTTTATAGTTATGGAATTGGAATTACTATTAATAAACAAAAAGCATTTGAATTATATCAACAAGCAGCAAATTTAGGAAATAGCAATGCTCAATATAATCTTGCTCTTATGTACCAAAATGGAAAAGGAGTTAATAAAGATTATAACAAAGCTTTCGAATTATTTAAACAATCAGCTGAAGGAGGAAATTCAGATGGAATAATGATGTTAGGTTACTGCTATAATGATGGTATTGGAACTAATGTTAATAAGAAAAAAGCATTTAAATCTTATAAAAAGGCAGCAAATTTAGGAAATAGTTTAGCTCAATATAATCTTGCTATCATGTATGAATATGGAATAGGTGTTAAGAAAGATTATAGCGAAGCCTTTGAATTATATCACAAGGCAGCAACTTTGGAAAATAGTTTAGCTCAATATAGTGTTGCTGTTATGTATGAACATGGAAAAGGAATTGAAATAGATCTAAATCAAGCAATTTATTGGTACGAGAAATCTGCTGAACAAGGATATCAGGATGCTCAAAATAAACTAGAAAAAATTAAGAGATTATAAAATTTTCTAAATATATCCCACATGCTTATTAATTTTATTAATAGTAATTTATTTAAACGGTGAAAATGATAAATCAATTTCATTAATTTAAGTAGAGTAAATTGTAATACTATTATACTATTTAATCCCAACAGTATTTTTGCTTATATCAGATACTGAAAAAAAAAATGAATTGTGATCAAATTACATTTACGCTTACTAAATTTTGTTCTTTGATTATATCCAAATTATTAGGCGGTGATGAAATCATTTATAAATGTTTTATTTACCGCATAACTTGGTTATGTTCTTAAATTTAAATTCGAACAATCATATAGAGGTACATGTATAATAATTTCATACCATTATCTTTAAACCTTTGTTTGAGTATAATATATAATAAAAAGTACCCGTATTACAACATTACTACAATTTAATAAAAACTTATGAATTTTACTTTACTACATGGTTTCATTATTGTATTATTACTTATGACTCTGTAATTCAAAAATTCTTCACATTTCGTAATTAAATTAAAGATTTCATATAAATTATAAAATAAATTTTAATAAATCTTTTTAAAACAAGTTTATTTTCCAATAGAAATTTCAACATACCCAAATTTAATAACTTCAAATTTTCATTTAAAGTTAAAGTGATCTTAAAAATTGATCATTCAGAAATTTGATATAGTTGTAATAATTATTATAATTATTATTATCATAATATTAAATGATGAATAATAAAAGTTTGATTTCACATTCCCAATTTCAGAAAGTTATTTATTATTAATATATTGTTCGAATTTATAAAATCCATATTAATCAATTGAAATCTCAAAATCCTTCAAAAATTATGCTCCGTCCCGTTTAGATTACCCTCTGTATAAATAATTTGAATTGTGCAAAATGGAAACGCGTGATAATCCGTGATATGTCTGCGCCTGATCTATTCCTTGTTTTAAAAAAGTTTAATTTATTAATCACATTTCAGGATGCGCTAGTCACAGCAGATTGTTGATTTTTTAAAAATTTTTTCGGTTTTTTAAACCGAAATTACTATATTTTTTTTTACGGTCACATTGTAAATATATCTAAAGCTGGGAAATATAATTTGATAAGTTATAATTACGAACCACTTGTAAGGGAACATTATGACTAGTTGCCTACAAATTTAGTAGGACGACTAGTAATAAGCTATACTGCGTCATATTTTTTGAGCGATTTTGTAATTTTTTTTTTTAGTAAAAATGCGTCACATACTTTAAGTGTATAATCGGCATAACCTGTCACACATTTCAATAAAATATAGTTTTTCGAATTTTCTTTTATAAATTTTTTATATATCGTTGTTACTTCGTTTATTTTATTTTAATAAAGATTTACAGTTAGCCCTAGGAAAATAAAGGATATAAAATCTTATCTCAAAAAGTCCTAATAAGTAATACATCATTTTTCTATAAAATAGTATTTTTCTTTTTTGTTAAAGTACAAAATGTCTTATAAAAATAATCAACAACAAGAAGACAATGATAAACAGCAAGATAATAATAAACAACAAGAATTTTACATACTAGTAAATAACAACTTGGCGCCATTTGCTAGTCATCATAGTGATCATACAGTATTAGACATTTTTGAGATGGTTAAGATTCAAGGCTATATTGAATTCTTTATTTGTATTAGTTACCGTTGCGACGTTGCGTCATTGTTATTTTACGATAAAAGAAAGCAAGTAAATGTAAATGATCTCCATCTCTCAAACTTTTAACTAAGAGAAAATATATAACTCGAACAATAGTATGAAATTTCTTTATTTTTGTTATTTTGAACAAGGGAATTTTCGTTAGAAATTTTAATGAAATACAATAATAATAATGACGTATACTTAAAAGACTTAAATATGTCAGTTTACGAAAATCCTATCTTCAACTGTTGAGCCAACATTATTGACTATCAAGATCCATAATTGCCGCATATATAACAAAAAAAAATCGTTGACAATGTTAATGATTAATGTTGCACAGACTATGAAGTGAATACCGTTTAAACAATCCTGTGATTAAGATGGCTGTGTAATATTGAATGTAGTGCGAAGGGTCATTGATTAGTAGGTTAAAAAGTAAGTTTTTTAGAATAAGCCAAAAACGTTTTTATTAACTTTATTTTTTTCTTTTTTTGTAGCGAAGGGTTTTTGTTTCTTGAATGGATCGGATAGTAAGTTTCGAAACTTTTGAAACTTTATTTCCCTTAAATTTTTATTTGAAGAATTTATTATTAACTTATCTTTTTCTCTCCTTTTTGTAGGAATGGTTTCCTATTCTTGGATGGATGGATCAAATGGTAAACTTTAAAAATTTTATTATTATTATTATTTATGAAAATTTATCAACGTTCCATTTTTTCTTTTTTGTAGTTTTTAGACGGTAATGAGAGAATTGAGAGATGGGCGTATGTTTCAGGTTGATATCTTTAACAATAAATTGTATAATAAATTTTTTACAATGAAAATTAATTTCAATAAATATTTAACACGATGCCCTACAAGAGTATCTTATTTACAATGTATCACATGACATAATTTTGCAATATGTTTAAAAAATTTTAGGTTGTTGACTCAACATAACCATTCTCTAGTATATAAGGCCGGGTAAAAAAAATTTTAGATTCTCGTGACATAAAATTTTAAACTGACCCGGCCGACTCTAAATTTTTTTTTTTTGCCCGGCCTAAAGTACAAATAAATTTTTTAACATAATCTTTTTTGAGACAAGATTATTTTTAACCTTTCAACAGAAATTTCCACATATCATAATTTAATAATTTAAAATTTCATTTAAATTTGAGCGAACTCACTAATTATAATAGTTATATTAATTATAATGATGATATTAAATTATGATATCAAATTTTTAAATGATGTAAGATTATTATAATAATTATTAATTATTATCATCGATATAAAATTTCGTTAATTATAATGTTTAAGATTTTAGAATATTTCAATATATTAAGAAATACTGAATAATGAGATTGATCAATTTGTAAAAAAAAAAAAGATGATTAAGATTAGGGATGGCAACAGTCGGTCACGGTCGGTTATCGGTCGGTCATAACCGGTTAAGATCCTTTGACCGACCGACCGTTTTGGCTGACCGTTTTTCTGACCGTTTTTCTGACCGTTTTTCTGACCGTTTTTATGACCGTTTAACCGACCGTCAGTAGTAGAAAGATTAAAGGAAATTATAACAAAAACGAACATAACAACAGAAAATAATATTAGCGCTTCTTTGAATACTGATAATTCGTTACATGGGGAAATGTCTCAAATTATACAAAATTTTAATAAGATGAATATAAAAGAAATTGTACCCGCAAACATAATAATTGAAAATTGTTCATTTGAAAAAGTTAATGATATTGTAAATTATATTTTCAAAATAGTTAATGAAGGAAAAGAATTTACATTAACCAAAAATATTAAAAATATTCTTGTTTATTTTAATAATAATAATACAAATTCACAAGAAATTTATGATTGGTTATTAATTAATCAAAATAATTTAGATTCTATATTTTTACTTGGATATTTTAATTATTTAGGAATTGAAACAAGCGAAGATAATAAGAAAGCATTTGATCTATTTATTAATATTAGCACAATTATATGTTGGATCATGTTATCAAACTGGTTACGGAACTACAAAAGATGAAAAGTTGGCTTTAAAATATTACGAAAAAATAGCAAATATGGGTTATGCATTATGTTTATTAAAAGCTGGATATTGTTATAATTGTGGAATTGGAACTAGTGTTAATTATCAAAAAGCTTTTGAATTATATCAACAGGCGGAAAGTTTAGGAAATATTGTTGCTCAATATAATCTTAATAAGTATTATATTGGAAAAGGTGTTGAGCAAACTTTAGCACTATATCACCAAGCAGCAAATTCAGGTTATAATTTAGCTCAATATAAAATTGGTCGTCTGTATGAATATGGAATAGTAATTAAAAAGGATATAAAACAAGCGATTTACTAGGACCCAGAAATATATATATGGGGGTCAGGTGATGAAAAAATTTTTTTACTATGAGCTGTACGCATTTTTTCAGGGCCGGAGTTATAATAATGTCAGTCGGTTACTATAATAGGAAATAATATTTTGACTAGCATTATCAAAAACTATCTAAAAAAGGAAAGATTTTCCTGATTTTTTAAGTTCAAAATACGCAAACTCAAACCTGACCCTTTTATATATATTTCTGGGTCCTGATTTACTGGTATGAGAAATCTGCTAAACAAGGAGATCAACATGCTCAAAATAAAACAAAATCATCTTTTATGTGCGTGGCTTTTTTGTATAACCTTTTGTGTACTGTACGACATTACCAAAAATTTAAAAAAAAATTCGTCTTTGATTTATTTTACAATAATAATATCAAAATGCAAACCACCGAAAATACAAATGAATGTATCAATTGGATTGAAGAAGCCATTTCTAAGGAATATTTTAGACTTTATGAATATAAATATTTTAGTAATGTTCAAAAAATTGGTACTGGAGGATTTGGAAAAGTTTATCGTGCAAATTGGAAAAATTCAGAACAATATTTAGCGTTGAAATCCTTTTTCAATGTTGATGACGTAATTGCAAAAGAAATAGTTCATGAGGTATTATCATACTTTATTCATAATTAGAAAATCAAAATGTTCAATCAAAAAATTATTTGTTAGTGATGGAGTATGCTAATTCTGGTACTCTCAAAAATCATTTAAAGGAAAACTTCGATAACCTTACCTGGAACGACAAATATAACTTGGCGTACCAATTAACTAGCGCCGTGTCGTGTTTTACATAATGAAAGAATAGTGCATCGTGATTTGGTAATTAATTTTATTAAATAATAATTTTTTTAACGTCATATTAATCTGATAGCACTCCGGTAATGTATTGGTTCATCAAAATACTATCAAATTGTCCGGACTTCGGGTTGTCAAAAAGAATCGAATCATCATCCAACACAAAATCTAAAATTTTTGGATGTGTTCCATATGTTGATCCAAAAAGATTTAGTGGACGAAAAAAAATAAAAACTCAAATCAAACATGTTCATTTAATGAAAAATGTGACATTTATAGTGTTGGTGTGTTATTTTGGGAGATATCTAGTGGTCAACCACCATTTGCTGCTGAAGAGTACGATATTGATTTAGCTTTAGAAATTTCACAAGGTCGTAGAGAAGAACCCATTCCTAATGCGCCTGAAAATTATATTAAAATTTATACCGGTACGTAGTATGAACTCTTATTAATTATAACTTATAATCTATTAACATTATTATGTTTTTAGAATGTTGGGATATTGAACCAGACAATCGTCCAACTATAAATCAAGTATTAGAAAGATTAAAAGTAGTTATAACGAAAACAAAAGAAAATCATCAAACGGAATTTAATCTTCAATCAACATCAATAGATGGACATAATTTTAATCCAATCAATATTGATACTTCAAATATTAACAATTCATTACATGGAGAAATGTCTCAAATTATTGAAAATGTTGATAAAATTAATACAAAAGAAATAGTATATATATCATTGACAAATGAAGATATTTCATCTGAAAAAAAATTAAATAAAATAGTTAATGATATAGTAAATTATATTTTCAAAATAATTAATGTAGGAAAAATTGCATCAAGTAAAATTATTCTTGATTACTTTAATAATAATAATATAAACTCAAAAGAAATTTATGATTGATTATTAATTATTCAAAATAATTCAGATTCCATATTTTTGCTTGGATGTTTTAATTATTTAGGAGTTGAAACAAGTGAAGATGAAAAGAAAGCGAACTGTAGAAGATGAAAAATTAGCTTTCGAACATTACGAAAAAGTAGCAAATAAGGGTTACGCAATGGGATTATTTAATTGTGGTTATCTTTATATTAATGAATTAGAATTAATGTTAATAAACAAAAGCATTTGAATTATACCAACAGGCAGCAAATTTAGGACATATAATATCTCAAAATAATCTTGGCGTTATGTATTTTAATGGAGATGGCGTTAATAAAGATTATGGCCGAGCTTTTGAATTATATCACAAGGCAGCAAATTCGGGATATAAATCAGCTCAATATAATCTTGGTAATATGTATGAATATGGAAAAGGAATTGACAAGGATATAAATCAAGCAATTTATTGGTACGAGAAATCTGCTAAACAAGGAAATCAATATGCTCAAGATAAATTAGAAAAATTAAGAAAAAATAATTAAGCTTATTCTTAAATATACAATACATTGCATATTCTTTGTTATTGTTAGTATTTTGTTTAAACTAAAATATTGTTCGTTTGGATTTTGTGATAATTTTAAATATAAAATCCTAATAGTATTTTTTTTTTTTTTCTAATAAAAACTATACTTTCTCTTCTTTGATTATTATAATCATGCATAAAATTAACAATAGCGGCCAGAACTTAATTTTCTGATTAAAATAAAAAGTTTGCGCTTGCGCTAGTAAAGTTTTTTGATTTAATTGATGATTTAATAGATTGAATTCTTCGCTAGAATTGCAGCTCGATTATTATATTACATTACGTTGATTGTGATGTATGTTACATCATCTAGAATTCGTAGTTGCATTATTACAAACACACAACGTGATACATAGATTAAAAATAAATACAATCACAAGTTCGTTCTTCGCTTAAAATAATTTCATTATGCTAAAAGTATATGCAAATAAATAAATTTCATGAATAGCTATCGGATTTCACGAATATAAATGCATATTATATTACCAATTGTGTTAAATTTTTTATCTGGTGTCACATGGTTGAAGATCGCACCATTTTGAAAACGGCGATAAGTCACCTTGAGCTGTTTATATACTCCCCGGTCCCCATGACTAAAAATTGTACGATTATTTATTACTAATTCGGACCGAGTGATGTATTTACTTACCTTTATGTTGCACAGACTCTTATAAATATCTGTTGAGATGCCATCGATCCCATTAGCCACTTTTGAGACTTTAGAAGAAATAAGGTTTTTCCTTTTAAAGGAGAGCGTTTCTATAAATTACAAAACTAAACTTATTCATACTTATTAATAGTTATGGAATTACATGAAAACTCTGTCAGAGACAAGCGAACTATCGAAGTTTTTGTACGAAACCTTCCTAGAGCCATTCCGGTATATTTAGAGTATATTATTGTTTTTCTTTTTCAAACAACTGTTGACTAAAATTTCTGTACAATGCTTCAGGAGGGACGGACAGAGGAAACAGAGATTTTTGCAATATCAAAATGGGGAACCAAAATTGATAGAAGTGGAAGTAGACGGAGCGGTAATTCCAGCAAGTACAATGCTGGACGGCTTCTATTTGATCAATATCATAGCTCCAGAGACTCTCGAGGAACAAACAGAATATCTGTTTCAACATCTGGAACAACTTTCAAGATGGATAATACTCCTAGAAACAAATCCTACATATCTCCCATCAGCGTTAACAGTCTCATGGAAGTCAGACCATCAGAAACACCATCAAAAGATTTCTTTTGGAGCGTCATTGATAGGTACCACAAAAACAAAAGACAAATTATTGGATCTATGACAGACATTCAACCAGTGCATGCTTTCACAGGACGCGGACAGGAATCTGATGATGAAACTGACACTCTGGGATTTCTGCAATTGTGCAGAAACCAACACGTATTATTACCTATCACAATGGAGGGAAGACCTTCCAATTATGACGAGAACAATTCGTACGAATTCACAAGAAAGAATGGATCCATGCGACAATTGTCTGATGATAATGTTAGTCAATACGAAAAAGATTTGCTCAGACTTCTTAGTGTATTGAAAAGTAAATATCCATTTCGTGTTGAGAGGAATAAAGATGTTCTATATGATGATGAAATTGAAAGATTTACTGCTCTTTATGGTATTACTAATGTTTATCCTGTGCTTTTATATCATAATTCAATTTTCTGGTTACAAAACCCTGATGGTGTCTACTTGTGGTCACGTATAGATGACAGAATGATACATGGTGGAGGTAATATGAAAGAGGCTCTTACAAATTTTCTCTTTCAACAAGAAAATCTCTGCTATATCGATGAGGATACACATGTATTAATGTTGTGCCTCAGATCGATTCTTGCCTCAGATCGCAACTCACGCACCTCAGATTGAAATCGTCATGTGAGGTGCGTGATGTGGATCATTGATAATCTGAGGTGCCTCGGTTTTAATCTGAGGCAAATAAAAAATTTTTTTTTAAAAAAAATATCGATCGTTTTCTACTATTTTTTACTATTTTATTAATCTGAAATAGTGTTAGTTTAACTCATTAGTAACTACACTAAAAATTACTTTAATTATTATAAAGTTTTTAACAAGAACGGTTCTTTACGGCTAATTGGCTCTTTGAGGTAAGTTCGGAAGCTTTTATTTTATTTTTTTTTTTGTTTTTTTCTTTTTCGGAACGGTACTAACCATTCCTACCTTTTCTTTTTTTTGTTAAACATTTTAAGTAGGTTTTTTTTGTTTTTTTCTTTTTAGGAGCCATATTTAACCCATTTCTTTTTCTTTTTTTAATAGGAACGGTTAAAATGTTTTAAGATAGAATTCAATTTTTATTTTATTTTTTCTTTTTTGAACGGTACTAACCATTTTTTTTTCTTTTTTTTTTAGCATTTCGGCCTGGGCTCTCTCCCGGTAAATAGGTATGCTATAATGTTTACTATAGTGTTAGTTTCTTTCTCCTAGAACGGTAC